GTATATTAAAAAATTAATTATTTCACCAATGGAGGTCTCGTCCCGTTGTAAAAATGTGAAATTTTATTGGTGTGTTAATTTTATTAATTTAATTACATTTGTCATTAATTGTTTAATTGTTGTAAAATTTTAAAGATTTAGAGATTCTTATGAATTTAGTTGATTATGTGTTGTTTTAATTTAAGGTAAAAGTTAATTAGTTAGGAGAGAATATTTAAGATTTTCTTGAGATTTAAATTTTGTAAATTTTTTTTTTTTTAAGAAAGTTAGAGAGAGAAATTATAGAGTTAAAATTTCTTTTCTTTTGTTGACTTCTTTGAGTATTTAGGCTTGAGTTGTTGTGATTGTGTGCAGAGTTAGCTTGTGACGTCCTCCTCCTCCTTGTTTTGACTTGAGGTCAAAGTTCATTAGTTAGGAGATAGTATTTAAGATTTTTGTATGACTTAAACTTTATAAATTTATTTTCTTAAGAAAGTTAGAGAGAGATACTATAGAATTAGTTAAACTTTTTTGTTGACTTCCTTGAGCATTTAAGCTTGAGTTGTTGTGATTGTTGTGCAAAGTTAGCTCATGAGGTCTTCCTCTTCCTTTTTTTTTTCCTACTACTGTTACAATTCTTCTTCTTCTTTTTCTTGTGGTTTTTCTTTCTTTTTTTTTTTGTGTGGAAATTGAGGTAAGTAAAACTTATAGATTGATTATGGTTGTATTATGATTGTTGATTTGAACTTGAAATCCATATTTTGTGGTTGAGATGTTGAATTGAGAAGTAAAATCCTTATGTTTTGGGTTTTTGGTGGTTTTTGAAGAAGTTGAGAGGAAAATGATGATTTGGGCTATTGGTTGGTTGCATGTTGAAATTGATGATATATTTGAGTTGATTATGATGTATAGTTGTATTTTCTTGTGTTGAATGCTGGTTTAAGGCTAATTTTCAAGTATTTAAAGTCAAATAATGATTTACCAAGTGTAGAAATCGTCATCACGTCGAGCATAGTTTTGTGGCATCGAGCATAAGGCAAGGTAGTAGCTCTTTGTCTCATTGACGTCGAGCATGAAATTGGTAGCATCGAACGTGAGTCAATTGAGAGCTTTTTAACTTGTCCACACCAGCATGAGTTGAATAGCGTTGGGGGTGTGATTTACTTGTGAGCTCTCTAACTTGGTGATGTTAGGCCTAAGATCAGCGGTGTTGGGCATGATTAGGTTAGTGACTCTTTATTTTAATAACGTTGAACGTGAGTTTTGTGACACCAGGTGTGGTGTACATAAAGACTCTTTATCTCATTCACGCTAGATGTGGATGAGTTAGAGACTCTTTGCCTCACCAACGTCAGGTGCAAACTATATGGCATTAGGTGTGATTATGTTAAATGAAAAATTTTAACTTAGTTTATTTTGAATGTTGAATTATAATGATAATTGCTTCATATGAAGTTGTTCTGGGTTGAGTAAGTTGAAAATTGATTAATAGTAGAGTTGTATAATGATAAAATATATAGTGTTGAATGGAGTTGTGTTGTAAATACTTTATGCATGTAGTTGTATTGTGTTGTTAACTAAGGACTAAAGGAGAGTTGTTGTTTTAAAAGATGAATATTTTATTGTGAGAATATAATATTGTGGTGCTCTAAGAGTCTAGTTATTGAAAAACCCTTCTTAAGTATAATTGTCTTTTGAAGTGGAGTGCTAAATGTCCTCTAAATCTTTAGTTGATACCACATGGGGGCAAGGTCAAACTATACTAGGTTAGAAGTGATAACCAATTAAGTAAGGTACAAGGTTAAGAACCAAAATCCCTAACTAAGTATTACTAAGTGTGCAATATTTGGAACATAGTCGATGATTTAATTTCATATAGGCTTAGTTACATATGCTAAGACTATGGTAAACTCACATCTAAGTTGTTCTATCCCTTAGAGGAATATTAGGCTTTCCTATTTTAAGTGGCAAAATCTGAGAATCATAGTGCGTTGTGGGTTAATATCCACATTTGTTGTTGATCTAGCAAACCTAAAAAGATAATGTTGTTAAGTTGATTTGGTAGGATCAAGTCACTTAGACTACTTACCACATTATAAGGGATCTCTTAGTTAAAATGCGTGACAATGTATTATGATACTATGTGTTGTTTTGTGTTGTAAGTTGACATATGGTTAATTGTTATGTGAATGAGTTATTTACAAGTTGGGTTGCTATGTTATAGTTTTGTTTAAGTTGTTTTGTTGTTCATTGTTGGGTTGTTCACATGTTATGTTGAAGAATTGTTTTGTTAATATACTATTATGTGTTGTATACTATTATGTGTTACTTTGCATGTGAAAGCTTACCTTTTATAATTTCCTTGTTGTTGGACTGTGAGGATCATATTTATATGAGAGCAAAATATGATTAGATTGGAGAGTAAACTGGATTTTTAGGAGCCATGTTAAAGGTGACTGTGTCTGTTTGGCTATTCTAAAACAACTACGTATAATAATTTTTGATCGACAAATCTTAAAAGTTAATTAAACTAACTAATTAACTTTTACAATAAATTAACTTAACAATCACTTGCCCTTCGCAAATATGCGGGCAGCAACTAATATTAAAATTAACGAAGTTTTAGGTAAAAAAAGGATATTTATTAAAGAACTAAAAATATATTTTATTTTTTTACACTATTATATTTTTTTTATTGTTGGAAAGTGTAACATATTTGTTTTTACTGTAACATTAGTTACATTACACTTCCTATAATTTTTAATGCAATTTCAAAATTTCAATATAATTTTGAATAAAATTTTTAATTTATTGATTATTTAATCAATATTGGTACTCTAGTTAATAGGATGATTAAATTTGATGCATGAAGTATGGGTATTTTATTTTGTACGTAATGGTACCATACGCGTTAGATACAGTAACAGTTGGACGCGATTTATTATGTACGACTCCAATAAATCTAGGCGCAAATTGGGTGATGCTTTTTGTTCATTATCTATATTGTTTTATATATAAAAAAATGATATTTAAGGTAAATTTATATATTGTTTTGGCATTGTTCATTTTTATGTTTATTTTTTCTATTTAAGTAATTCCATTCATTCTCATAAATATATATATATATATATATATATATATATATTTATGAGAATGAATGGAATTACTTAAATAGAAAAAATAAACATAAAAATGAACAATGCCAAAACAATATATAAATTTACCTTAAATATCATTTTTTTATATATAAAACAATATAGATAATGAACAAAAAGCATCACCCAATTTGCGCCTAGATTTATTGGAGTCGTACAATTATTATTTAAAGAATAAGCATTTAGATATAGAGAATATATATATATATATATATATATATATATATATATTTATATTTTTAATAAAAATAAAAATTTTATTTTATATAATTAAAATTTATAATGAATAAATATATTCAAATATATGAATTTTAAACTTAAATATATTTTTAGTATATATGAAATGAAGGCATTTTAATTTTAGTTATTGTAATTCTTTTTTTGTTTTTCATCCCCTAAAATTTATAATAATTTTTAGTCTTGGAAAAATAATCAAAATTGTAAATTTAAGATTTAGAATTTAGGAATTTTGGTTACTATAATTTTGTTTTATTTTAACTCTCTAAAATCTCAATCTGTTATATTTTATTTTTAATATTTATTTTAAAATCAATAAATAATATTTATGTTATTATTTATTAAAAACATATTTATTTTAAAGGTTTATGAAAAAAATTGGAAGCATCACATATGTAACATTGTATCATAAATCATTATGGAGCGTCACTTGAAAATGGTCACTCAACCTTATATGATAAACATATAAAAAATAATTAGTAAATAAAAATCACATAGTATATAATAGAAATTAAAAAACAGTACTTTCAAATTTTATAAATAAATAAAGAAAATTTTTATACAATGACCAAAATCGAAACATATTTAATGTTAAAATATAGTTTAAATTTATAATAAATAATTTAAATTTTGATATAAAATTAATTTTAACTATTAAACTTTTTTAAAATTTTTGAAATTTAAAAAGAGATAAAAAAATTAAAAGAACAAAAAACTAAAAATTAAAATATACAAATAAAAGTAAAAGGATTGTGATTTGAAATATTTGGGAGATTTTTTAACTAACTATAGAAGTAGTTTGAAATATACTTCCAGATAAGATAATAAAGAGAACATTGAGAAGAGTGAGAACATTCTTGTTCAAAGTTGACGATTTTAATTTATAAATAAGAATAGGTGCTTTATAACGAATATAAGTATATTATATTATTTATATATAATGTTTGAAAATTCAAAGAATGTATTGCATTTTCATTTAATAAGAACTAGATATATACAAAAACATTGTTGGATTTTATAATATATATTTCAAAAATTAATTTGAAATAGCTGATAGTTTTACTTTTACACTAATATTTCCATTTTAATTTTTAATATTTTGTATTGCATTCATGTATTTATGTCAAACAATGAAAGAAATCCTTTGAAGTGAAAATAAAAAGTTAAAAACCTGAGATTCTTAAATATTAAAATCTTAACATTAATTCTTTCAAGTCGTTATCTATAATAAATATTTATTATTCAATAATATATTTTAAATAATATAAAAAAAAGTCTCGATTCCGATATCAGATGCTAAAAGAATCTTTATTTGTAAAATTTATTGAAAATTAATGTATAAAAAAATTGTTGTTGAAAAGAAGTGTAAAAAAAAATGGTGACCTTACCAACAGATATTAGTTACCAAAGTTGGGAAAGTACATATAACATCCTTAATAATTTTTTTTTGATAAAAAATACTACCGTACAAGAATTCATGCATACATCCAAATTAAACAGTTTAATATCCTAAGATTAGTTAGAGGCAAAAATGATGTGACGCTGGAAATATTAAATTTGATGCAGAAGAGAAAAGTTGGAAATGGGACCCACGTAGGAACAGGAAGCATTACAAGGTGGCTGAAGCTGAATGAAGGACACAAGAGTACCACTTTGGAATTCAGATTTGAAACAGCATCTACCCTTTCCAACTTCCAAATTCACTGTGTGCACTTCAATTCCATCCAACACAAACGTCCCTTTATGCCTCTTTCAGCTGACTTTTCCTCTTCTGGCAAACAACCCTTCATGTTTTGACCTTGCTCATGCTACAGCCATGGATATGAAACGTTGACTGTCTTTGGAATTGAGAGAGCCAAACACCAAGATCACAAAAATTTGATCTTGCAACTACCCTTTTGTGTTTTTGGTGCTGGCAAAGAGGAAAGCAATGAGCTTGAAGAAAAGGGGTCTTTCAAATAACATTGAAGAGGCTGCAGTTGACTTCTTCAACCATCTCTTGCAGGAGAAGCCAAGGATTCCAGTTTTCATTCCTGTGATTCTGATTGCTTGGGCTGTTGAGAGATGGCTCTTCTCTGCCTCCACTTGGGTTCCTCTTGCACTTGCTGTGTGGACCACTATACAGGTTGTTTATCACTCCTCACTTTGATTCATTTTTACTCTTTTGTCTTTATTGAGCTTTTTGCCCTAGTATGTTTCCACAAAAGTTACTTTGTTATGGATCATCTTGCTTGCTCAATTTGGCTTCATGTTAAGATGCATTTATTTGTTTTTTTTGTTCTTGTTGAATTGGGGTAATTAAATTTACCAACATTTTCAGCTTTGAAATGTTCCTTGTTAGATGTGAGATGCCAGTTTGTTAATTTTTTCTAATTATATAAGTTTACAATTGCACAACAATTTATGAATGGACAAAACCTGGATGAAGTTCATGTGTATAATAAAAGTGTGCATAAAGATAAATGTAGGTTCCCAATGTGTTATTTCAATTGGGGAACAATACTAAAAACACAAGTTTTGTCTTGTAAATATATTGCATTCTTCATTCATGTAATATAGGTGGTATTTAAGCTCGAGCTTCCTATTCTATTGTATTACCCTTTTCAATAAATATGTTTAGTTGAATTCAAATTCTGTGCAATATTAGAGTTTGGATATTCAACTGTATTAAATACTCAGAAGGAAAACTTTGCTGTTTATAATAATCCTATCCAACTCGAACATAATTGATTCAGTGGAAGATACCTTGGTTTTTGAAAAAAAAATTCCGTGCAATATCATCTATGCGTTGTGAGTAATTGGCTGTTTGTCAAGTACTGTACTTATACTAGTTGTTAATGTGAGATTCTGCTCTTTCATTTTCAGTATGGGAGATACCAACGCAAACTGCTTGTGGAGGACTTGGATAAGAAATGGAAGCGAATCATACTAAATGTCTCGGTATCTTTTTCTCTACCTTTCCTCCCTTTTATATTTCCAGTGTGACTTTTTTTGAAGTTGACTTCAAGTACCTGTTCATATAGCCCATCACACCATTGGAGCACTGTGAGTGGCTCAATAAGTTGTTGACAGAAGTCTGGTCCAACTACTTTAATCCCAAGTTTTCAATAAGGCTATCTGCTATAGTTGAGGTGAAATTTCACTACCTTTTCTCATTTACCATATTCATTAAATTTTCATCCTTATTCAAGAGTCAAAGCTGAAATTGTTGATAAATGGATTCTACTTATTGTAGTTTCACTACACATACGTTCACATACGTACTTGTTATGCTCTCTTCAGACATGCATTTTATATTTTGATAGATGAACTGATTTAATTTCTTTCTTTTGTGTCTCTAGAAACGTTTAAAGCTCCGGAAACCAAGACTACTAGTAAGAAACCCACATTTTATTCTATGATAGAATTTTACTTGGTTTACCAAAACCTGAACACTTTATAGAGGATGAGTATTTGGTAGATTTGTACTGAACTAGAGCAATTCTTTTATAGGAAAGAGTTGAGCTGCAGGAGTTTTCACTAGGATCATGCCCTCCTAGCTTGGCTCTGCAAGGGATGCGGTGGTCAACTATTGGTGATCAGGTTTTAGTTTCCTTCGTCTTCAAATGTCATTAGTAAATAGCATTTTTATATATTCAATTAATATATATTATTCTTCCCATAATTTATAGTTTTCTAGTGGTAGGGATTGGATAAAAATTATCTATTTTCATTTCTGTGAGCAATGTGAGAAACATACTCTAGGCCAAATCTATTTTCATCTTTCCTTGATGTGATTGTACCAACACCACTACAAATACAATCACTATTTTCATTGCCACTGCTTTTGGGATCTTTATAAGCAAGTGCCAAGGAAATTTCTTATATCCATAGTTTGGAAACTAAACTTTTACTTACCAATTAAAACATTAAAGATCATAATTGACGGATCTATGAGCCTTTTGTACCGCTCAGCAAATGCCACCTAAAATGACTATATTTGACTTTCCTGCTTGTATTACCCCTGCTTTGTAAGCTAGTTTGCCTCCTTGTCCTTCATTTTTCTTGAGGTCTATGACTCTATGCTGTCCTTTTAGTATTGATATATTACTGCTTACTAGATATCAGAGATTTTGATCAAGCATTTCTGCTGGCCTTTTACAGCGATTCCTGCAACTGGGTTTTGATTGGGATACAAGTGAAATGAGCATTTTGTTGCTTGCTAAGCTTGCAAAGCCATTGATTGGAACTGCTCGAATTGTGATTAACAGTCTTCATATCAAGGGTGATGTATGTAAAGCAATGTCCTTTTCATTTTTTCTTCTCCAATGTAGATTAAATAAAAAAAATGTAAGGTGAAATAAGGGACATGTAAACAAATTTAATTTGATTTTTGAAGCATGTAATTAACACTTGTAGCCTTGAGAATTACCAACCTTGATTACCAGCTTATTGCAGTTTTTTTCTTCCTTTTAGAAGTTTCCATTAGATTTTTAGTCTTTATTTCTTCGGCCTGGTCACTGATTTTCCTTCATTACTTAGAAACTGGTTTAGTCGTTTCTTTTTTTTAAGCTAATCATCATTAATATTCATTTTGCAGCTTCTTATTACACCAATTCTAGATGGAAAAGCACTTCTGTATTCTTTTGTATCAACTCCTGAGCTGAGAATAGGAGTTGCCTTCGGAAGTGGCGGAAGCCAGTCACTTCCTGCCACTG